TTAACTAGCATGCTAGCATACAAAAAAAAATCGTTAGCTGCATTCGTCACAAGTGGGAAAAATTTAAATCTTCATGGCACTTTACTCCAATTGGATCATTCGCTTGCTTAAACTCAACGTTCATTCTGATTCCACAGAACTGGGTTGGGTGTGAAAAAGTATTTGTTATTAACATTATTTTTTCATTCAGTTTTTCCAGTTACGAGTCTTTTTATTTTAAAGCTGATCGTTTTGTGTTCATTTTGTTTAGTTCTTTTTTCGTAACAGATTTAATGTTTAGTATAGAGCTTAGAAAAAATTCGCTGTGTAGAAGTAAGGCATGTAGCAACATCAGCACGGCAAAGGGCACTCCTTTAAAGGCAAGGAAGGGCAAAAATATTTTAAGTCAAGTGATAGCGATTGCTGTATGAGTCGTACGATTTTTGAATCAAGCACGGGCAACGCCGGGCCATGCTGCTAGTCGATCAATAAGTGGAACCCAGTAATTTTTATTTTATTTTATTTTTTTACGTACGGACGGTGTTTTTGTACACATCGGAGAGATAAGATGCGTTTCTTACTGGAACGGAGACAAATCCAGAACAAGTGAAGAAAAAACAAAAAAAAAACAAAAGGCAAACATACCTACACGGTAAGTTAAAGTGCCAAACACTTAGATTATCCAGACAGAGCAACAAAAAAAAAAGTTTGTTCTTGACTCGAAGATAGACACAACTTTTTGAAGCATGACGCGCCTAAATTGAGGGTAAAGACACCTTTTTTTTTAAACATCCGTTTGTTTTCTTTTTCAAGTCTAAATACCAAAAAATAAATTTATAAAATCACTATTGATTTCAACCACGTTCTCCACTCGACTTCGAAATCTCCAGCAACTCTTCTGGACGGTGTCCTTGTTTAAATTGGTGAATCCTTGCCTTCAGTGTTACAAGGAGTTTTGTCAGTGACTCGTTCAACTGCGCTCCACACATAATAACCATGGTTGTTGCAGTCTGGGGAGTTAGGTGGCGAGATATAAAAGATGATGTGGTTGCAGAAATTGTTTGATAGCTATGACTAGGTTCTCCTGCTTGTGTGGCATGGCCCAGAGTCCTGTTGCCTGATACAGGTTCTTCCAGGAGCCACCCTCTTGACCCAGGGTAGCACTATCTTCTTGATATGGGCCTCCGCTTTAAGTCCGAGGCCCTCACTAACAAATTAGGGAGTTCTTTTCTTATCAGAACAGAGTGAGTTTCCTGAGCTGCCGTACCTTCGTAATCACCGTTAGACTCATCCAACTCTTAAAGAATCATCTACACTGTCCTCAGATTAACTTTGAAATGTTCGTATTGGAGATTCCGGCGCGAATGCCAAGCAGTACAACATGCCGTTTCCAAATTTCTGGCAGACTGAATTGTGTCAAGGTGCTTTTTTTTTCTCAAAGGTGTTGCCCAAATGACCTTACTATACTGTGCAGTCGACAAAATCAAAACAAACAACGCGCATGCGCGAAATTAACAATATAAAATGACAACAATTTATCCATCGCACCCTAATTATGAATTACTCTAGTTCCTTAGGAAATATTAAACATCTTTATCTATATCTTTTTACAGATATATTCTATCAGAAATTTTACACATACACACACATATATATATATATATATATATATATATATATATATATATATATATATATATATATATGGATGCATGTTTCATTAAATAATATAGACAAGTTTTGTCTGATTATTTTAAGTAAATTCCTTTCATATTGTCACATAAGCTTAATAACATTATCATTGAAAGATGAAAGAAAAACACCATATTGATACATGTTTTTAATCCTATCTAAGCTTTCGTCTTGCATAAGCCATTATCAAAGATGACAATTACATTTCAATGTATTAAACAATACACGGGCAAAACAATAATGATAGTCTGTTTTTGTTGCATGAAAGATTTCCAAGCAACGACAAAATCGTGTATACGAGACGCGGAAGCGAAAATCGCACCGCAGCTCGTGACGTCACACATGACCACGCCAGCGTGTAAACGAGAAATATTAAGTACGGGAAGCCGTTGGTATAAACCAATGGCTTCTGTTATAAGCTATAGGCATTTAAGAATATTTGTGAAGATTTCATAGTTTATTTTGTTCAGGTTAGGTTTCAACTGTTTTATGAATTGTCATCTTTGATAATGGCTTATGTAAGCCGAAAGCTTAGATAGGATTAAAAAAACATGTATCAATATGGTGTTTTACTTTGATCTTTTAATTAGCTTATCAGACAATATGAAAGGAATTTACTTAAAATAAATAGACAAAACTCGTCTATATTATTTAATGAAACATGCATCAATGAAAAAATGCTACCTATATATATATATATATATATATATATATATATATATATATAGATGAGATGAGATGATATATCGGACGAGTTACACCACGGAATTCGTGAAGAGCGGCGCTATATTGAGTTTAATTCATTACTTCTTGGTACAATTGTTATGACGCATGTATCGTATCGTAACGATCCGGGTTCAATTTTCGCTAGTGCATGCGCACTCCTGATGAGTCCCAAAAATAGGACGAAACGGCCGTCGAGTGCTTTCTGCATTCTGTTGAGGCTTCTTCTAGTCTCGATGAATTACTTAATTATGATTATCTCAAATCGTCCTAATAATTTCTATCACATATATTTATATATGTGATAGAATATCATATATATGTGTGTGTGTGTGATAGAAATACACACACACATATATATATATATATATATATATATATATATATATATATATATATATATATATATATATAATCTATTTCCAATCTTGACAAGGACTATTCACTACTAATGTTATATGGCGTTCACCTGTGACCTACACACATGACCTATAGAAACCGCCTTTTCTCGCTTTTGTTGTGAAGTGGACATTGAAAGAGCACTTAAAACTTTTTCATTATTATTTTTCCTTTCTTTCTTTCTCTCTTGAATTTTTTCCCATTAATTCCTTTTTTTCTTTCTTACTGTGTCAAAATTGTTATGATTTTCTTTTTTTCTTTCACAATTACTTATAATTTTTCTTTCTTTCTTTCTTTCTTTCTTATATCATTCTCCGATTTTATTATTATCATTTTTCTTTCTCTCACCAAATATTTCTTTCTTTCTACCAAGAATAATTTCAGTCTTCCATACACGTTAGCTTAAAAATTACACATGTCGTCAAATTCATTTTATTTCCATTGCATGCGAGATGCATATTTTGATGGAGGTATCAGTGGCAACTCGCTTCTTCCTGCCAGTGATAATCGGTGTTCATTATTTGTATCAATCTCGCTTTGAACAATAAATTTCCTCGAAAGCCGCCCGCCTATGCCAGCGAGATTAGAGTAACCTAATATAACACAAGAATATGACATATATGATAGATTAGGACAGATAATGTAGATTAGGGTACATTTTGACAGTTTATGGTAGATTATGACAACTTATGGTAGATTATGGCATTTATGATTGATTACGGGAGATATGTCAGATTATGGTAGATTATGACAGTTTACAGTAGATTATGACATATATGGTAGATTAAGACAGATATGGTAGATTAGAACAGATATGGTAGATTAGGGTAGATTATGACAGTTTATAGTAGATTATGAAATATATGGATGTTTAAAGTTGATTATGACCGTTTATGGTAGATTATGACATTTATGGTAGATTATGACAGATAAGAGTAAATTATGACGATTTATGGCAGATTATGATAGATAAGGTAGATTATAACAGTCTATAGTAGATTATGACATATATAGTAGATTAGGACAGATATCACATATATATATATATATTTGTGTGTGTGTGTGTGCACGCGCGTGCGCGTGTGTGCGTGTGTGTGTGATAAATATATATATATATATATATATATATATATATATATATACATTGGGTTTCTAACTTTGGAAAAGACATGAATCCATTTTAACAGTTTATGGCAGATTAGAGTAAATTATGGCAGTTTATGGCCGATTATGATAGATGAGGTAGATTATGGTAGATTATGACAGTCTATAGTAGATTATGACATATATAGTAGATTAGGACACATATGGATATACCGATATGGTTGACTGGGATTAATTATGACATATATAGTAGATTAGGCCATATATGGTTGATTATGACGTTTTATGGTAGATTATGGTAGATTACGGTAGATTATGACTTATTTTTGTAGATTCTGACAGATGTATTAGATTATGGTATATTATGATATTATATTCTTCTGGACTCGATGAATTACTTAATTATGATTATCTCCAGTCCTCCTAATAATTTCTATCACATATATTTATATCTGTGATAAAATATCACATATGTGTGTGTGATAAAAAGATAGATAGATAGATAGATAGATAGATAGATAGATAGATAGATAGATAGATAGATAGATAGATAGACTGGGTTTCTAACTTTGGAAAAGACATGAATCCACTTCTCTATGGACGCTGTGTTGTTACCAAATATCCTGGCAAAAATATCTTCACTGATAGGATATGATGGTTGACGGAGAAGAATAGATGAGTGATCACAAAACCATTCTTCCAGAAGTGCCTTACCACCAGGCATTGATAACGATAAAATAAAAACTATTGCATCTATTTCTAATCTTGACAAGGACCATTCATTGCTAATGTTATATGGCGTTCACCAGTGACCTACACACATGACCTATAGAGGTCGCCTTTCTCGCCTAGGCCAGCGTCAAAACTTTACCTGGCTGCCATTTTTTTCCTTGCTGCCATCGCCGTTGTCAGAAGGATGGGGTATAAAAGACGGAGAAATGTAAATACCTTAACACGTTCTTCAAGTGCACTTCGTTCACAGAGAAAAATGTAGGTGACAACATCGTTGGGTTGGGAGAGGGCGCTCTCAAAAGGAAACTCTTCGTTTTCCCACTTGACTGCTTTCGGAACAACGAGAACGAACGGTTGCCATATAAAGGCGTATGATTGTAAACATTATTATTTCTACGACCCACCACGCTCGACAATCGGTCAGACCAAGGTTCTTTTTTTTTTTTTGCTACGTCGCCTAGTAAGACCGGTCGTACGTTCTTTGTCAATTCCTCTCTTGTGTCTTTATTTCTGCCCCTAACAAGGCCACAACATGACCCCAGTTTAGGGGTTGACTATTTGCCCATAGCTGGATCCTAACAAGTGTTACCGGCGGGGTCAGGGTGGATCTGGAAACACCAGCAATTGAGAGGTGGTTCCACGCTCCTCAAAGCCTTGCTGTTGGATGTAGTTTATCGTCTTACCTAGGACGTTTTTTGTTTTTGTTTTTTAGAATATTTTATTAGTGGATTTATTCTTTATTTTGATTTTTAATTCATAGCATTTATCTTGCTAAATCTTCGGTAAGAGTTGGATGAGTCTAACGGTGATTACGAAGGTACGGCAGCTCAGGAAACTCACTCTGTTCTGATAAGAAAAGGACCTGCAAACTATGGGTAAAAGCGCAAAGTAGATTGGTTTCTCTAGCTTTGGCTGGAAACCATGGTGGGGGAAAGACGACTCGGAATAAAAAAAAAACTCCACTGCCTTGTGGCCATATTCACCCATGGGAAAGTCGACAGGATACAATCCCGATAAAAAATCCGGAGTCTGTGCCTCTATTGCGATTCGTGGCTGTATTCAGTAACGTCCGCAAAAAACTCCTGCGACGACGCAGAAGCCATGTCTATTGACAATTACCTTTGCATCGGATCATTTCACCGACGTAGAGAGGTGAAACCTATTGCATAGCTAATACACTGTCTCCCATATCGATCGATCTACCCAGGCTTTGTTCACTAGAGTGATGTGGAAGCCGCAGCGGACGCTGCGGGCCTAAAGTATCACCCAGACCCAACTCCAGTCTCCTGTGATGGTTTTCTAAGCGTAGCTTAGATGTCGCACAAGGCCTAAAGTATTAGGCACCTAGTGAGGATCGAATTCACTATTCACTCAGTGATTGATCTAGCGAGACAAGAATCATTACACTACGTCGAAATGCGCAAATGTTTTCCGAAGTGCAGCTTGGATGTGACACAAGTATGGGGCACCCAGTGAGGATTGAACTCACTATTCAGTCGTAAGTGATGTAAAGAAACAAGTTTGCTAACCATTGCAAGTGACCTACTCAACAGTCTCCTGTGACTGGTGGAATCTTAGAATGTCTTCCCAAAATAATTATGTAATCCCGTGACCCATTAGGTTCGTAAGGGAACCAGATGTACTTCAGCCGCACTGGAAATGGTGTTTCTTGGGCAAGACAGCTTACATCTCCCCAATGGAATACGAAGGGACTGAGGATGGTTTGCTACAATGCGCCTGGCATGGCGAATGTCAAGTCTGAAATTTAGAACTTTTGGAACTAAGGAATAGAGTTCGTTTGAACACTCTTCATAGAAATTGCGATGGAGCAGCGAGAGGCTTGCGACGTTTCGTCTCTGAGGAAAGGGGTTGTATAGTGGGAAATAACTCGTCACCTGCAAGGACTCGCAGACGCTTTTGTACTCTAAAAGTGGAAGTGGAACATGAGGACAAGGAAGCTCTTACCCATATATGGCAGCAGTACTCTATTTTGGGCCTGATCTGGCTCTTGTAAATGGTAGAGGATATCAAGAGGACTCAGATAATTCCTGGAGCCGCACAGGGAACCGACCATTTTACCCGCATCATCAATGATGTATCGTATGTACGAACTGGGTTGAGTTTCAAAAAGTTACGCTACGCCAATTAAATTCTACCTAGAATGATGATGTTCTTGGGTCCATGAAAACACTTTCCGCATCCGCTTTTATAACAAGTGAACTGGTGTCGACAAATAAATACACAGTTAAAAATTGTTTTTTATTTCCGGAAAATGTTGTGTTCTCATAACTGTGATCGCTTTTTCTTAAGCGGAAGTCTCGCAGATTAATTAGCTTGGGTCGTATGTTCGATCTTCACGCGTGACACCTTTGTGACCATGTGCCATACTAAACTACATTTGTAAAATAACTGTGTGTGAGTCCTTCGTGTGAGGTCAGCGCTTGTTCCATTTCTGGAAATGAAGCCCATATTTCTCTCTCGTCCAATTTCATCTCTATTTTTCTCTTTCTTTCTTTCTTTCTTTCTTTCTTTCGATTCGTTCCTTCCTTTCTTTTAATCATTTCCTTTCTTCTTTCTTTCTGTTTTCAATTCCTTTCTTTCTTTCTTTCTTTCTTTCTTTATATCTTCATTTGCTTCTTTATTTGTTTCTTTATTGTTTGTTACCATCTTTTCTCTTTATTTCGTTCTTTCTTTTGTCTTTTATTTTTATTTTTCGCTCCTTCCCCACCCTCTCTCTCTCTCTCTCTCTCTCTCTTTCTTTCGTTCTTTCTTTCATCCTATTGATACACTTTATTTTTTTCTTTTTATTTTACTTTTTTTCCTCTGCCTTTTTTTTCTTTTTTCCTTTACCTTTCCTCTGCCATTTTACTATTTTCTTTGCCTTTTTCTTTTTTATTCTTTTCCGTTCCTCTGCCTTTTATTCACCTTTTTTTCCTTTCCTCTGCCATTCACTCTTTTCCTTTTCCTCTTTTTGCCTTTTCTTTTCCTCTACCTTTTCCCTCTATTCTTTTTTTTCCGTTCCTCTGCCTTTTCTTTTCTTTTCTTCTTTTCCTTTTCACTCTTTTCCTTCTATTCTTTTCCTTTCCTCTGCCATTCACTTTTTCCTTTCTCTCTTTTGCCTTTTTTCTCTTCTTTTCATTTCCTCTACCTTTTACTCTTTTCTTCTTTCTTTTCTTCTCTGCCATTCACTCTTTTCCTTTTCCTCTGCCTTTTACTCTTTTTTACTTCTTTTCCTTTCTCTGCCTTTTCTCTTTTTTTCACCTCTGCCTTTTCTGCCATTCACTCTTTTCCTTTTCTTCTTTTATTCTTTTTTCCTTTCCTCTGCCATTCATTCTTTTCCTTTTCTCTTTGCCTTTTCTCTTCTTTTCCTTTCTCTCTTTTCCTTCTATTCTTTTCCTTTCCTCTGCCATTCACTCTTTTCCTTTTCTCTGCCTTTTACTCTTTTCCTTCTCTTCTTTTCCTTTCCTCTGCCTTTTACTCTTTTCTTTCACCTCTTTTCCTTTCCTCTGCCATTCACTCTTTTACTTTCCTCTGCCTTTTACTCTTTTCATTTCCTCTACCTTTTACTCGTTTCTTTCTCTTCTTTTCCTTTCCTCTGCCTTTTACTCTTTTCCTTCTCTTCTTTTCCTTTCCTCTGCCTTTTACTCTTTTCCCTTTCCTCATTGCCTCTTTTCCTTTTTTGCCTTTTCTCTTCCTTTTTCCCTTTCCTCTCTGCCTTTTTCTTTTCTTTTCCTCTGCCATTCCTCTTTTCCTTTTCTCTGCCTTTGCCTTTTTTTCTTCTTTTCCTTTTTCCTTTTTCTTTTTATTCTTTTTCCTTTCCTCTGCCTTTTACCATTCTTTCACCTCTTTTCCTTTCCTCTGCCTTTCTTTTACTTTCCTTTCTTTTCTTTTTCCTTTCCTCTGCCTTTTACGTTTCTTTTCCTTTTCCTTTCTCTGCCTTTTACGCTTTTTTCTCTTCTTTTTCTTTTTCCTTTTGCTCTGCAGTTTCTCTTCTTTTCCTTTCCTCTGCATTCTTTTTCTTTCTTTCTTTCTTTTCTTTTCTTTTCTTCTATTCTTTTCTTTTTCTTCTTTTCCTTTCCTCTGCCTTTTTCCTTTTCACTGCCTTTTTTTCCTCTGCCTTTTCCTTTTTTCTTTTCCTTTTACACATTTTTTTCGTCTTTCCTTTCTTTTCGTGTGCCTTTACTCTTTTTTTTCCTTTTCTTTCTTTCTTTCTTTCCTTCAGTCTGTCTTTTCTTTTCCTTTTTTTCTTCTTTTTTCTTTTTCTTTTTTTTCATTTTTTTTTTTCACCTTTGTTTTTCCTTTCTTTCTTTCTTTCTTTCTTTCTTTCATTCTTTTCTTCTTTCCTTTCCTTTCCATTGTTTTCTCACCTTTTTACTTTCTTTCTTTCTTTTTTCTTTTTTCTTTTCTTTCCTTTTCCTTTCCTTTTCTTTCCTGTTCTTTAGTTTATTTTTTTCCTCTTTTTTACTTTCTTTGCTTTCCTGTTTTAGTTTTTTTCACTCCTTTTACTTGTTACTCGTTTTTTTCTTTCTTTCTTTCTCTCTTTCTTTCTTTTCCTTTTTTCTTTCGCATCTACTAAACATATTCGTCATTCACATAGTGAAATTTTTTCCCGCTGAAACCAGCCAAAAGGATGATATGCTCAAAACCACTTTTGATTTCGTTGCCAACGCTCCGACAGTAATTGCAACGATCACAGTAAGTCCTTTAATTCAATTTAACGACTATTTATACAACGGGAGAGTTGTCCGTCGTAGGACGACATTTTGTTTTTTTTAATCTGTTAGACTTGACCGCTCAATCTGAAACAACAACGGCTTTGCCCAATCGGATCTGTGCACTCGTGGATGTCCTGAGAAAAAAAAAACGCTGGACAAAAATATGGATCCAATTCTCTTTGAAGTTTCGATCGTCCGTATATTCTGGAAGGAAAACTCATTAATTCCCATTAGTACTGAGAGAAATCCAACTCGATTTTATTTACCTATTCCTTCCATACCACAAACATCACAATCATAGCGGGCGGTAAAGAAAACTGTCCAATTCCCTCCTTACTTCTCCATCTTAGACGATGCAGCCATCATGGATTGCGCTTGGATCACTCTTTTTGTGCAATGGGGAAAGCAAAGGCCAGAAATTCTTGTTCAGTTTCGTATGAAAAGGCTAAACAAAGCAATTAAAGCAATTGATGTATTTATTTTGAATCTGACATTTTTATTACTTCAAACCTCACAGACACACACACACACACACACACACAGACACACACACACACAATAACATATATATATATATAGAGAGAGATACACACACACACACACATATATATATATATGTGTGTGTGTGTGTGTGTGTGTGTAGCGTAACAGCAAAA